TTTTTTTTTCTTCATTTCACCGTCCATTCTACCTGCTTTTCTTTCTTCCATTTTAATCTATTTCCTTCCCATTTCTACTTTTCTTTTATTCCCTTCCCTTTATTTCTTCCTTCCTTCCTTTCATCCTTTCATCCTGTCTTCCTCCTTTTTTAATGCAATACAGATTCCACTATTTCTCACCTTAACAGTCTTATCTTTTCTCATCACCATGTTCTTGTACTTCTCACAATCAGACGACAGGTTTTCCACAACCTGCCGATGCCTCTTTAACTGCCAACAACAAAGTATATTAACCATAAAGTAGAGACTTTTTAACATTTTTATACATTTCCCACACTATTGCTGCCATTTGCCTTTCCACCCGTGCTCCTTTTTTGGAGGGGAGATGTATTTAATGCCATATCCACAAGGGGTAAAAATGAGTCAAGTAAAGTATATGAGGTAATGAGGATTAAACTGCAGACTACCTGCTTAGCTGAAGCTCCTGATAACAGAGGGATTTCATGGCAGCCATGTGGCAAGGAAAGYGGAGTGCCATAAAAAGAGGGAGACCAAATTTTGAAAACATAAGAGACTAGTATGCAAAAGGAAAGAAAAGTATGTCCCCATCAGCAGTCCCTGTAAAATTATTTCTTTAGGAAATAATACCTCTATTATGAGCAAAAGCATCTTTCTATTGTCCCTGCCTTTCAATATGGCTGCTGTCAAACCCTGCAACTCCATCGGAGGGACAAAACAAATGAATTCCAATCTACTGAGAATGAGAACCTTTTATTATGTCCCCCAGATTGAGCCGCATTCTAAAGCGCAAGGAGTCTATATCTCTATATCTACATYATTACCTCAGCTGATGCATTAGAACATCTGCTCTGGTAGTCCAACATAGTGTGACGCAGGTTCTCCAGTACTTGAGCAGGTGATGGCGGCTTTGTTTTATCTTTTTTCTGACCTGAGACAAAGGTATGAATGGATATGTTGGTACAAGAACCACTTTGGATACCTTAACATTGCTTCTACAGCATGCTTAGCTGGTTCTTTGTTCAAATTTTTATCAAATTGGAATTTTAAAATGTCAAATATYGTGGATGGAAAATTCCTAATGTTCAGAAAAAGAACTAAAATTTGAAATAATGATTTGAGATTTTATATGTAGCGCACTTTCTATATGGATATAATGAACTTACRATCATGAGAGGTGGTTAGTATGAGGTGTGGGAATTGTAGGTTATTTCAGGGTATTAAAATGGATGAAAAATTGTTAAAAAACGACCTAAGAAACATTATTCTGGGTAGAAATGACTACTCTAGGCTAAACAGAGATTACCGTGGGTCAAAGGACTGTGACAATTCCAGGCCTGTTGCTAGGGGTGTTTAGATGGTTTGAACACCCCCCCCCCTCCCCACCTTTGTAGGAGTACGAAATAATATTACTTGCTATTTTAGGTTTTCAAGAAAATTTCTTGGCATAACTAAGATTGGTAGGAAAGTACACAGACTAGGCTAAACAGGGATTCGGTGGGTCAAGGGTGAAAATTCATACATAATTCTTACTTTTCTTGTCGTCTTCTGGTTTCTCAATGGTAAAGTTTTCTAATAATAATTCAAGTTCACGCATGCTGCTGCCATAAGTAGTATCCAGCTTGATTTGACGCTTTCTTGCCTGCAAGTACAACAAACTAAATCAGATTTTCTGCCAAAAACCCCTAACTCTCGTGCCTCTTACAGGGCCTTGTACATGTGCAACAGTTGAATGTTGCACAGCTTTGAAGTAGATCTCTATAGAGCTTTTAAATGCCACATCGATCGAAAGGAAAAACAACTTCCAGGTCTAAAATGATAAGCAGTTCTACTAACAGTTTCTTACTATTTCTTCATGATAGGATTTTTTGTACAAAGTTCTATTGTTTGAAGTGAAGGTTTAATCAGTGAGAACATTTTTTGCTATATTTTAGCATTTTTGGGATTAGCTAGACCCGGAAATACATATTGACTTAACTTTTAAGACAGCTCTATACAGCTGTAGACCTTATTTGGGCATTTTTTACCATTTCAGACTACAAGTCATTCTCTTGAGAATGAGATTCTTTGTTTGAGTTGTATCTATATTCATGTGTCTTCGTAGCATGACCATTAAGTAACATTATTTCTGAATTAGGTTACCATAGCACCCAAGCTAAAATGGTCTACTTTACTTATGCAATGTCTTACACTTTAGTTGTGAGCAGAAACAGTGCAATTTTACAGTATCTGATTGCTCATGCAGCATAATGCATACTAATTCACAGCCTGCTTCTTGGCCTTCAATCTTCTTTTCTATGCAATCACTTACTTGAGTAAGCTCAGCTTTGAGAGCATCAAAGTTTGTCTGGTGGACTTCTAGCTGTTTGGCTAAATTTGCGATAACCTTCTGTTTTTCTTCAATTTCTGCTGACAGATCTCTCCTTTCTTTACCAAGAGTTTCTTCTAAATCTGCTATCCTTGATTCCTGAGCCTTGCACTTATCTCTTTCTTCCTCATATGTAGATTCTAATTCCCTGTCATTCAAAACGAAAAGTAATAAAACACCTTTCTTTGCATTCTTGGGGGAAAAGGATGGTAAGGTAAGGTCCCTATTAAGTTCTTAGTAAACACCTTAAAGAGATATGYACAGGTTTCTCACCTGTTTTGTTTACTTAGTAATTCCATGTTATGGCTTGCTTCTTCTACTGCTGACTTTTCTACTTCTAAAGCTCCTTCAAGATCCCTGACCCTTAACTAAACACAGAAGATTATGATATGAATTTAAAATAAATGTAGCTTGAATTTAATTTCAACCATGGAGACACAGGAATAAGACAGACAAAAAGCCTTGGAAAACAAGTGGAAAAATGGATTAAAATCTTTATGAAATGTGAATGAATAAAGACTATGCAAAATGCCTTCCAACTGATTGATATATAGATTACACATTTATCTGCATTTAGGTGAGCATTTATACAATGTTTGTCACCAGAAATAAAATGCCTTTTTCTCACATGAAACTATAGTTCAGTGGAATCCATAGTTATAGCATACTTACAATGTTCTTTATATTATATTTGGATTCTTGCAATAATTTGAAAATATTCAAACCTTCCAGCTGATCTGAGAAATTTTTTTAGTCAATCAGAAAATTTCAAGAAAATTTGCAAAACTGAAGTGTCACTTTTCCTCATTGAAATTTTTAACTTCAGGCCACCAAATGGGAAAAAAATGTTGCTAATAAGAGGCTGATAACAGTAACACAATAAGTAATAAGTTAAATATTTTTTATTACAATGGTGGACAGGTTTTTATTTTTCCCTGGTTGTCAGTTTTCATAGGCTTCATGACTCCCAGTTTTGAAGTGACTTCATCTTTGCGTCACTATTTCAGATCAGCTGGTTGTCCATGATAGAGGTTAGAATTTACATCTCATACCTGTACTATTTCTGAGTTAAACTTTGTCTCTAAATGTGCTGTTCTTTCAGCCTCTATACTCTCCTCCAGTGACTTGACCCTCTCTTGGTATTGCTGAAAAATATCATAATAAATTACAATCATTATAATACAGTCCAGTACATGGAGTAGCAAGGTCTTGATTAAAGAGGAGCGATGTACATTTATTTTCCCCTCCAAATCAACAGGAATCCTACATGAATTAATTAAATTTTGGTGCCAAAAGCAAACTTTTTTKGGGGGCATGTAAATGTGAGCTTGTCCAGTTAAATTTATTGCCTTGCATGGTCATTTTAACTTAGTAATGTTGAGCCAGAAATAAGGTATGACTGAGCTTAAACTAATTTGGCTGTTCATCATGACCGTCGACTTATTTTAAGTCCTGATTTAAGAATAAATATCACTGTCCTTGGTATTTCAACAAATGAAGGCCGTTTTGCAGATGAAATAAGAAAAATTGCATTCAAAAAGCATTAACTATTAGCTTAGAACATACTTCTAGCTCCTTCTTCAATCGCTCTTCCTTCTCAACAGAGAACTCCAGTTCCTTTTGTTGCTTGTGGATGGCTTCCCCTTGACTTGTTCTTTGCGCTGCAAAAATGACAGTTTGAAATAAAAATCTTGACATTTTCTACCTCATATCAGTTATGGCAARTGGTATGAACAACTCTCTCTCTTACAGGTTTAATGATAAATGAAAACGCTCACCTTCCAATGCTAAACATTTTTCTTGCATTTCATTGCAGAAACTGGAAAAGAGGTCAATAGCAATTATTATGGATGCAAATGAGATGCAAACAAGCATTGCATCGACCCAATAGCCTCACTTGTATGATTCTTAAAACAAAAGAATTTCTCATTGCAGGCTCAACTGTAATAATAGCTATTCAACATTAAAAATATGTCTATGGTATAAAAGATGAAAAATGATGCAAGCCCCTTCCCCCTCCACCCCAAAAACCTTGCTGATTCCCCCCTCCCCCTCCCCCTCAACCCCAACCCCTACAAAGCACCAATGTTTACAATTATTCCTCAATATGTTTTTTTTTTTTTTTTGACAGAAGTACAGATGTAATAAAAGTGTACCAAACATTTACTTCGTTTGTTCCTGTAAAGCACGACTTAATCTCTTCTGTTCATCTTGCTGATCTTTGATTTCTTCTTGCAGTTGGAAAATAACTTTATCCTGTTATAGCAAATAATAATATAATTAATTAAAATATCAATTTGTTTATTTTTTATTGAGATATTACAGTCAGTTTCACAATACTTTACACGATCGGGTTCTGAACTATGTTCAGAAATTCCCAAGATGGAGACCAACTTTGGAACTTTGAAACGAAGTTCTTCATAAACTTTTGAACTTCCCAACAATATCTCTGTCTACTGTTGAATACTGTAAGCAAACAAAGCCAAGCWTGTATGTCAAGAAAATCCAGAAGTTCCTGGTTGAAAATTTTAGTTTAAAAGTTTGTTTGCTGCAAAATAAGCCAACCAAGTTCCGAACTTTGGCAGGAAGTTCAGAAGTTCTTCATTTGCCCCCTCAGCATCCCATAATTCAAGATGGCCGATGTATCAGTAAAAACGTCTATTGCTACAAACTGTTTCCATAGCTACACTGCTAACTGAGACAAAGGTCTCAACAAGTTAGTGGGCAACAGACTACCCGTCAATCAAATAAATCATTGTCATGTACCTTTAGATACATAGGTTAACAATTTTTTCAATTGCCAGTAGAATATTGATTTTCTCCCTGCCATAGGATCCTTACCTACATGTACGTTAATATAGAATTGTCTCCAAGGGTACATGCATTAATGCACAGTAACCTACCTTATCGAGGTTAAGCTGCCTGAATTTCTTTTCATCATTTTTACTTGTCTGTTTAGTGTTTGCCAAATCCTTCTCCAAGGTCTGAATCTTCTTATTCATTTCATCAATATGTTGTTTTAGACTTGAATTTGATCTCTGTAATTGATGTTCTCTCTCCGTTGCACCTCGTTTCTCATGGCTGGCTGCTTTATTAGCCAAGGCCAGTTCATATTCCAGTTTCTGTCTGGTTGTTTCTCCTCTTTCAAGTGATGAGCGTAGTTTAGCAATCTGACCGTGCAATTTTGTGGTCTATCAATTTCAAAATGAAATAAATTGAGAATATTTATTACAAATTCTGTATTGCAAGTTCCTGTTTTCCTCTGAGAACCATAAACAAAAATATCTGATAATGATTGTTGTTTGGGTTTTACCATGATAGAAGATGACAACAGCCTAGGATTGTGTGTAGTTAGATAAGAATAACAAGAATAAAATAATGTGAATAATAACGAGAATAACAGATCTAGTGACATAAACTAGTGATTACAAAACAACAAAACCATGAGACAAAATATGATATGATACATCTACAACATCAGCAAGTCTACAAGTCCCTCAATTAAACATTAACTATATTAACAAACTTAATATCACCAAAAAAATCTGGGGGAAACATGACTTCTGCTTTTTTACTCCACCTCGTGGACCATTTCAGCCAATTTGCAATGGCCATAGTATGATGATGATGACAATAACGATAATGATGATGACGATAATGATAATAATAATGCTATAATGATAATGATGATGATATCTGAAGCATAATATTATTRTCTCTACAGTTTGCTCTTACGAAGATCTTATAAACTAGGAATAATAATAATTTTTCACCTCTTCATTGAAAATTCTTGTCTTTTCTGCCTGCTCTTCTTCAAAACTGGCCAACTTTCTTCTCAGATCATTCGYTTCTGCCAAATCAAACAAAAGAGAACACATTTAAATAAATCATTTGAAGTTTAATCATGAAATCATATCAAATTTGCTCTATTTCAATCAATACCATTATCATCTATGATGGTCTTGTTCATCTGCAGGTCCTGGACTTTCTTCGTCAGTTGCCTGATTTCCTTCTGATAGTTTCTAATCAAATCTGCTTGTTTGTCATGAATAACATCATCTTTCATGGTACTCTGTGTATACAAGTGGAGACAACATTTTACTAAGGTGTTCGTTGCATGGAAAGCTTGGAAAGTTATTAAAGATGTGAGTYGTGTGTTTCATCAAGCATTCCATCTAGACCTTGCTCATCAACATGAGTTCCAGTAGCTCAGTTGGTTAGAGTGTCTGACTAGCAAACAGAAGGTCACAGGTTTAAATCCTGCCTGTGGCTTGAAAAAACATTTAAAAGAAAATTTTTTTTGATGAGACACAATTCACATCATTAACGTTTTTATTTTWATTTTAAGGTGACTTGATCTGAGGGCTTTTGCACACCTTCTGAATCAATTACCTTTCAAGGTATGTCACTCTAATAGTACACACTGTAAAGTGTCAGCCCTGCCAACCAATGGTGTTCACCATGCCAAATTACCACAGGCCATTTAAAAGACTACTTTGACGATGGTGTGGCTAACTTGAATTGCAAGGCATTATGGGTCACCAAGTAAGCAAAACGAAACGAAGATGGTGAAATATGTCTTCCCCACAATATTTGAGGAATTTCCTCAGCTGTGGAGCTGAGCATTTCCTTAATTCATCTCTTGTCTAATTGTCTTGTTATGAACGGTAAACGTCAATCAAATCTAAAACTTTGTCCATTTGCCTCCTACAAAACCCACAATGACTTATGATTCAAGATGGCCACCACATTGTTCAAAGTAGTCCATTAAATAATTTGGCATAAAAGTGCTTGAATGTAATTGAAAAGCCCTAATAAAAAACGTAGAAGTGCCATTTTAGACACTTAGAGAAACTACTCTTCCCAGGGGGTTAAAAATACCTCTGCCAACAGAATAGACCCTTCACAACAATGCCCAGAAAGGAGCAGAGCTCTTCAGAGAGCAGAGGATAAAACGATGGATTTCAATTCTCGTGAGAGTAAAATTGTTATTGTCCTCTAAACTGAGTTGCATTGGGAATATCTTACAAATGGTCTATTAGAAATGACAGATACATAAGTTTGTCATTCAGCGCCACAGACAGCTAAATTGCATTTTAGGAAACAGTAAACAAAAGAAGATTTGTAATGACAGAAACAGTAACCCTACTGATGTATCTGTCAAGTACGAAGTTTAYGTAGGGACAACCATAGATACCAGTAAAAATATTCCTATAATGATATAAAAATGAACTATAAATATCCTATCYATTGCCAGCTTACATCGTGAGGGCCATCTTCCGTATCTGGCGAACTTTTTCCGCTGCCTATTGGTGAGTTTTTATCACCAGGAATGGGAGAAACTTGAAAATTGTTGGACCTAAAAGACGGAGTTGGASGTCTTGATGGAGAAGACCTTCCTTCACTGAAGCTTGATCCCCAATCACCGGTCTCCATTACGGAAAAAATACCTCRAAGGTATCACTTTACGATCACATTTTATGTTTCAGTTGAAAATACGGATAAGATAAGGTAAGGTGCATTAAAAATTTTGCTGAAAACAAAAGAATTTTGTAACGAAAATTTGAAGCGGGAAAAGTACGTTCATGAGTAGCACCGCTGACATCTAAACAAATGTAACAGCAGGCCCAAGTATTATGGGTTCCCTGTGGAATATTGCTTTTTTTACAGGGTCCTCCCCCCCCTGCCGATTTATTTACCAGCAGTACTAAAATTATTCACCTTAAGAGTTAAAAAATAAATTTGTAAGAATGTGTCAGTCAAAGTTTAGTTTTTATCATAAAACCACAGCGAAATCAAAAATTTCACTTTCAAGGCCAAATTCAAACCTTTCTTCGTGTATCGTGGACAGGAAATGAGTTTTTGAAGATATTGCTTTTTTTCGATGAGTTTGTAAAATTATAGACAATGTCAGTGTTTTAATTGAACTATTGATCGCATTCATCATGCCCCACGTGTTAGACGTGTGTGACATCATTGTCTTTTCCGGGACTTTCATATAAAAACCCGACCTCCGGGTCCAGCCTCAGCACAATGCAGCTTCCTTTGGCTCTTGCTAACTACCCAAAACTACACTAAAACTCCTCTAAAACTGACTGCATCGAAACATACTATCCCTCCTTCAATAGGAACACTATTTTTGATATGTTTGAGTGCAAATGTAGAGAAATTATCATTTTTCAAAAACAAATCCGAATCAATGAAAGCCGAAGGAAACACTAAAAACACATGACGTCATAGTTAAAATGGTTTAATTAACCAATCAGAGATCGACGTACCATATGTAATGTCACGTGACCCCACCATCAAAAACCCTTCATGGCTTCGTCCATCTCATATGAATTGTGGTTTGTTTTGGGTCCAAATAAACTAAAATTTAAATTCTAAAACATCGACTTTTAAAAATTCTACCGTTGCGTTAAGGCAGTATGGACTCCGGAGACGATGACTTGTTGTACGAAGAAGACGACAGTGTTGGCGATTGGCAGTCTGAGGATGCTGAACATAGCGATTTCGATATCGATTGTGAGGAACCTTCGACTCCAAAACGACCACATTTAAATGATGATTTTCATTACGAATGCCTTTCACCAGAAGCTTTAGTGTCCTACATGAATGAAATCATTGATGAAGTCAACAGCGTTTTTCAAGTAAGTGTTTTCTAGCCCTATACGTCCCTAAACTCCGCTGCGCACTGCGAACCTCGCGCGCAATCTGTTGTTTTTCATTTTTTACTCATAACTTAACCTCAAAAAGGGTATTTCAGATGTTTAGCAGCCAAGAAAGCCCCTTCCCAAAAGAAGCTCATAGTATCTTAGTTACGATGACTTATTCTGGTTGTGTGATTTGGAAATATTTTCCATTTGACTCAAAAATACTTATTTGTCATTACGTTGAACTTGTGTCCCAACTAGTTCTTCCCATAACTTGATTTCACATCTGGAAATTGTAAAACTAGAATTATCTTTAATGTTAAGAATCGTTATTAAAAGCACTCATTTTCTATTATGTCGGGGAGTAAAGCTGTACTACTTGAAGATTGATGACAATTTACAGTATTCAAAATATGACTTCCATATTTTACTTCTGTCTTTCATTCAAAGGTTGTTTTTTTTTTTCATTTTACTTTGTTTTATTCAAGATGAAAAAACTTATGATTGGAAACAGCTGAAATTTAAAAGAACTGTCAGTCTCACATTAGTTGAAATGTTGAGAGCAAATCATTTTTCTGCATCACACAATGGTATAAAAATTATATTTGTTCAAAATAGTGGGAATCTAAGATCAATGAATTTTTGCCCACTAAATACTGTAAATATAATTGTTTTCGGAAGCATAGATACCATTTTCATATTTGCCAAGATAATGAATTTTGTGAGATATTTTATTAAATCTATTGGGTTTGGTAAAATACCATGGTGTCTGATTAATTTTACTTTTATGAGATTCAAAGTAATATTGCAAAGTTGTTATTTATGTAATAGCAAATGTCATTGAAACTTTTGATCAGATTATCATCATCACCATTATTATTTCATGGTCTGAATTTATTTTATTAAAAAGAAATAATTCAAGTGTGCACTTTGTATAGGAAATCGCATGATCTTCTTGAACGACAGCAATAATAATAATGGTTTATTAGAAGTACTTCCATAAGTAGCTCTTCTTCTAATCTAAATTACTGTACAAAATACTAAAAATCGTAGATGATAAATGAACTATTGAAGAAATAGAAAATGTGCGTGTATGCTGCGTGCCGTCATAAAGTAGGGATTGTCAAAACATGAAAGAAACGTTAGGAGAAGCATGGCACATAGTGAAGTGCTTCGCAATACTTCTCAAGTGTTCTGCCAATCCCCAAGTGCTTTATGACGGCACACAGCATGGCAAGCAAGTTTTTTATTTCTTCTGTGTGCTCTCATGAAGCATGTGCTCCCAACCAATCAGAACTTGAAATTGATAACAGCTATTTTATAAATAAATATATATATATATACATATGTATTAGGAATACTAGAACTAATTTTAAAAAAGCAAAACTTGTATGTCATTGGTCAGCAAAAACATCTACATTTTTCACTTTCAAATGAGACAGCTTTTTAGGTCTCATTTTATCAGACAAACATACAAGTTTAAGGAGGCAGTTGTAACATGTTTTGATATTTTGTGTCCAAGCCTAGATGCAAACAATGTAATATATATTAATGCATTTCTAAAAAAATGTTTCTTCTGGTTTTTATTCCAGCTACCAAGACCAATGGCTAGGATATTATTGAGCCATTTCAAATGGGACAGAGAAAAATTGCTTGAAAGGTTAGCACTTTCCTGTAAATTGTCAATTAATGCATTATCCACATTTATGCAATCATAAGCAGTTTTCATATTTATTCGTTCCCCCTCCCCTCCCCAAATAGACACGAAATGACCTCCCTTTATTTAAGAGCCCCCTACATTTTGATTGAAAAAAATTGTCCCCCCAGCCCACAAGTTTTAAATGTTTACCTAGTTTGAATTTCATTTATCTTTATACTTTTCTAATATATATCACTGGTGTCTTAGATATTACAGTGGCAATCAAGAGAGTCTGTTTTCAGAAGCTCACATTGTGAATCCAAATACTTCAAAATCTTCTCAGTCAACCAGGGTGCGTTAAATCTTTGATTACATAGTTCTTGAACACCTGATGGTGCTCAACTTATCTCTCTATAGAAGGATATTCAGAGTTCATGCTTTGTTGAGAAATGTTAAAAAAAGATTGTGTGGGGCAGTGCTTAAAATGATGGCTGGTCACTGCTTGAATAATGGCTACAATATTGGAACTTGTCCAGTCAAATCTTTGCCTTGCTGGTCATTTTGACCAGTAATGTTGAGCCAGAAACAAGGTGTAATAAGCTATACTAATTTAGCCGGTGTTCAGGTAACTGATCACCGTTGATTTAAGTTCTGTTGGACTACTTCTTCATTAATACAATTAATAGCTGAGCCTGTATGTCTGTTAAAACTCCGAAAATGATACCCAGACAACAGATAGTGTCCAGCCAAACTCCTCTTAGGCCAGTCTTCTTGACTGTTCACATTAACAGGGCACATGTTGATCAATTGTACCAGGATCCCAGTATGTTTGAGCTAAAATTCATCTGTCGTCTTGTATGGCAATGGACCAAATCCACTTAAGGGCATGATGTTTTCCCATCTCAGACTATGTGTCATTCTCTTGAGAATAGGATTCTTTCTTTGAGTTGTATCCAAATTCATGTGTCTTCCCATGCACAACTGCTRAACAAAGAAACAATACTCTAGGGAATGACACGTCGTCTGAAATGGGAAAACAGTGGATTAGGTCTACTGAACAGCCATTAATTTTACCCTTACAAACTAGACAACCTTGTAATGGTTGCATGTGATAACAGTTGCCCAGTTACGATTTCACTTTTTATCCATGTTCAACCTCATTTTTATTTGGAACATTCTTGAAAAATCAGAAAATTTGATATTTGACTGTTAATGTTAATAAAACTTCTTATCATTTTATCTCATTTTACAGGCAAAAAATCAGAAAATTCAATATTTCATTATTGTCATAAAACTCATCATGATTTTATGTCATTTTACAGGCAAATACAAGATCTCAACCCACAGAAATACTGTGTGACATATGTCTCTCTCTAATACCTGCAGGGGTAAGAAATCTACGTTTGTATGCAACAGCATTGCAAGACAAGTTTTACTGGGGTGTTACACTGCTCAATTTAGGCTTGGTGAAACTTTCATCACTAGAAAGTTTCATGAAAATTAGATCTGCTTCCTACTCAAGTCCAAAGTTGTGTCGCAAACAAGTTTCAGAACAAAATTGCACCATGTAACACCTCCATAAAACTTGTGTCACAATGCCATCGCATACAACTTTCAGCTAAACATTTCAACCCATAACAGGGCCCTTAAATATTAAGTTTCCTAAGGTATGTAATAATGTTATTAAATGACTTTGTTCCTTTGGTCGTAGAATTTTACTGGTTTAGAATGTAGTCACAAGTTTTGTCCACGATGCTGGAAGGAATATCTCACAACCAAAATTATAGATGAACATATGGGAGAGGTAGGACAAATGCTCATTTATCTTTTTATTTTGGGAAGTAATGGTTTCCCATTTTAGATCATGTCTTTTCCTTGTTATTAGAAGCATTACACCCAAAATATGATGCGACAGAAAGGTGCAGTTCCAGTAACATATAGTTTTTAATATATGCCATTATGTGCCTAACTTTTATGCAGCACATGTCCACAAAATATTTATGCACATATTTAATGAGCTGCATGAGAATGATGATGAGATGACATGCATTAATATTTAGAAAGGCCTATATCCTCCCCATTTTAGTGTGCACAAATATTCATTATTCATTCATTCATTCATATTTTTTTACAGAATATTTCTTGTCCTGCTAGTAAATGTGATATTCTTGTAGATGAAGCTTTTGTAGGGTGAGTGGAGGAGTTACTTTCATCACTAAAATAATATATAAATTCTTTGAGAGCACTGTTTAGTGTTCCTTACTGGATGATGTCTTCATTCCTCTACTTTTCAATAGCTTTTCTAAGCTCTTGTTAGTGACGTTTAACTGTCTGATAGCAATTATTGTTTGTTTTCCAACATAAGTTATGAAGGGTAAAATGCTGATGGGATTTTATTGCTCTTCATTTTAGCCTAGTAGCTAAACCCACGATTATATTAGTTCGTTGCACCCCAGGAGTGGCAAGCTGTTCCTGGTATCATTTTATAGCTCAGACCCTTCTGCTGATGAATCAGCTTGTTAACATGTGATAAGTGTGACCAAAAGCCTTGGTAACCTGGCCTGAAATACCCATAATCCATTGTGCCAAAATACAACCATAAAAATAAATAAGTAAAATAAATTGACTATATTTAACGAGGGTGACATACATTACTGGTAGCCCAGTAGTTTCCATCATGGCCCTCCTACAATTAATGAACTGAAATGATTGATCAAATAAACGTAAAGTGTTTTTAAGAATCCCAACTGGCAAGGAGGCAAACCAGTTGGCTATTTACAAGCATGGTCAAGAAATTGATCTAAACTAATCAGGAATCAGGACAAATACAGTCTCAGCTAGTGGCCACAGCGGGACTCGAACCCGGCTACATTGTGGAGACCAAGTAATGCATCGATGACAGAGGATCCTGCTGCATCAGTTATGGTGGCAATTTCAAGGAAGACATTCCTTGTTTTATCTTTTTTCATGATAAGAAGCCGTGCTAGTATCTGGCTGTGGAAATGACATGCCGTGATGACGACATCTGTGTCCGGAGATTTGATAATGATCACACACGGACAAACAAAAGCAATGGTATTCAATCAGAAAATAGATGTTGCGATTACCAATTAGATTGACATAACTATCCTGGGACCATTGGTCAAGTAGAAACCTTGTTAGTGTCATTTTGTTTTCTCCACTACTTAAGAATTTCTTCCATTGCTAGGGACATTTTTGGCCAACCCCAGTTATCTTGACCTTTATCGTACCTTGACTAGCACGCTAGGCAATGACATCTCAATTAATATTGAGCAGCTCAGTCTCTAGTGATGTCAATAATATATCCACCCATTTTTTCTTTGGGCCTCTTGTATTTATTAATTAAGATTTATTCTAGTATCATATTCAATATCATATTTCTTTGGGGGGGGGGGGGGGGGGGAGAGCATCAATCTTTAATCCTAGTTGGCAAAGCGGTTTTCAATTATTTTTAAAGAGCTAGCAATATTACTAATAATGATGATGTTGGGAGTTATATAGCGCATTTCAAATATCTCAATGCGCTTTACATTTATGACCAGTGGAGGATGGCTGGATATTAAGGCACTATTAGCAGCTGTGCAGCTTACAATCATGTGTGTGAATTAGCCTATAGTGAGAGCCAAGGGTTAAAGCTTTCACAGTTTATGCCACCTACAATCGTTTAGGAGGAATGTACAGCTTTTTTTTCCAAGAAGTAAATAATACTTTAGTTTGTTATGGAATAAACATAACAAAAATGTGTACTTTGGTATTAATGCATGCCATTTTTCTTCTCTTGTAGACAAATATTACGAGATCCCAAAGTCAAGACACAGTATCATCATCTGATAGCAAATAGCTTTGTTGTGGTAGGTACATTGTGCAGGTAATAAGCACCAGACACTACAGACTGTATGGCACAAGACTTTTATCCTTTGGCCTGATACATGTTGTGCTTTCCCCAAACATTGAAACCTTTGTGCCAATCCCCACATGCTTTATAACTGCACACAACGCTCGTGTGCATTTTCTATTTCTTCATTACTGTATGTGTAGTACTTAAAGGATGGCAGAGCATATAAATTAAAGTGGGAGGAGGGCAAGTATATTTTTTTATCCATATGGAGCTAAAGCTAAGACATAAGATTTCATTTTGACTCGTAAAAGGGGGAGCTAAAGTTCCCCCATCCCCCCAGGCTCTGAAGTCCCTGTCCTTGTCTGCAACTCAAAACTGTCCCTCCCCCCACTTGTCTGCAACTAAAAACTGTCTGTAAAATTGTTGAGTTAATTGTTATATTGTTATCATTCTACAGAATAATCGTTTAATGAAGTGGTGCCCTGGTCCTGACTGCCATAATGCCGTCAAGGCTAATTATCACGACGCACTACCTGTCACCTGCCTGTGTGGATATAACTTCTGGTATGACCTGCTTCATAATAATAATGGTATCTTCATTGAGATTTCATCTAGATTTGACACTTGTGTACTAATAGTTCCCTTTTTAGTTCCCTGTGTTATATTGAAAAACCCTTGAAAAGGTAACCATGCCTGTGTATGTAAGTGAGAATTGCTGTGCCCTTGCAATGATAGAGACGTGAAAATTTTTCAAAGGTCTCTATCATTGCAAGGTCAGCTTTGATGCACAAGCACGGTTACCTTTCAAGATGGCCTAGGGAACTGTGAAGGGGGCTATTGGGGACACCAATGCTCACTCGCACTACCACTATTATTCACTGCTTAAATACATACAATAATCTGCTCATTATGTTCATTTCCATGCCAAGAGAACAAACTCTCACAGCCAGAGTCACCAACAAGTGAAAGCAGCAAACCAAACAAATTCTATTCACATGTGAAAATTTTTGAACCAGATAATTTGAACCAACAGTAGAAAAAGACTAATGTTTTACCTTTTCACCATCCTTGCCACCCAACTACTGAAGAAATAGAAAACGTGCACGCATGCTGTGTGCTATTATAAAGTATGCTGGGATAGGTAGAACACGAGAGAAGCTTTTGGAGAAGCACAATGTATAGTGGAGTTCTTCTCTACTCTTCTCGAGTGTTCTGCCAATCCCCAAGTGCTTTATAACTCCACACAGCACAGCAAACAAGTTATTTTTTTTTTTAAATAAAATACAAGGGCATGTTCATKCTGTGTGCTCTCATAAAGCACACGCTCCCAACCAATAAGAATGCAAGATTTTTAATAGTCATTTTATAATACAGTTTAGATTGATGTTCGCATACAGTGCAACACTATGTACTGAATGTAAAAAATGATTATATTTCAGCTTTGGTTGCTCAGAGCCCGTACATGAACCAGTTAAATGCCAGGTAAGTTGATAGTTATCTATCAACCAACTTAGTTTGAGGAAGATTCTGTGAGTCTCAAGCATATTGTTCTTTTTGAAATTAGTGCCATTTTCTTTCTCCTAACCCTAAAGCTCAAGGCCCTGTTACACGTTAAAACTCTTGGTTGAAATTTGTGTGGCATGAGACAACTTTCAGAACAAATTGCTTCTTGTGACACCCTTAGCTTTGGGAAACTTTCATCGCCGGAAAGTTTCATGAAAAGTAGAACTGCTTTGCAAATGAAAGTTGTGTTGCGAACAATTTTCCTCCCTCCCTCCCTCCCTCATAAGAATCCACTGTTAATCCTATTATTCATCTATTTATCCCATTTTTTGAAATAGTCATAAAATGGTCCTCTTTGAAATAAATTTCCATCATTAAGTTAAACAAAAACTTGAGCACACAGCATCTGATTGGATGTCAAGTGAAAATGATGTTGGAGAAATTGAAGCATTGAAGTTTGTTATCCCTAATGTTTATTGTAAAATGACGGATTCATAATCTTGTTTTTTATTCTTTAGTGGTTGAAAAAGTGGATCAAGAAAACAAATGATGATAGTGAAACATCAAACTGGATCTCGGCAAATACAAAAGAGTGTCCAAAATGTAATGTAACGATAGAAAAGAATGGAGGGTGCAACCACATGGTCTGTAGGAATAGCAGTTGCAAGGTAGGACATACATCATACTCTTTCCTAATAAATATTTRATAAATAGGTCCCTTTAGAAACGAGCAAGACTGAGGAGAGTTTTGAATTTTTCTGGTCTACACTTGTCTCTGCTAACCATACATTCTTTGTAAATTTGTTGGCACTTTTAAAAGTGTAATTCTAATTCTAATCCTTTTTCATTGAAACGTCTTCAAACTTGCAAGACCTACTAATCTTGAGATGATTTCTCAAATGACAAAATTTTTTGCCAATTAGATAAAGATTCAAATTTCGCCCCAGCCTCTTGCTCATTTTTAAAGTGGGCTCTTCTTTTGAGTGAACATAAAACAATAATTATTGGTCCAAGTGGAAGTGGGACTTGATAAGATACAGTATATGTATGGACACATCAAGCTCAACCTTGACTTGAGTAATCATTTCGTGGCCACATTAGCAAATTCAGACAAGGTTTATTGCAATCTTTTCATTTCTTGAAGATACAGTATATTTTATATTTAATAGGAAACTTTGCTGTGTTGATATGCCTTGTAGTGAGTTTCTTGCTGAATTTAAGATGCACAACAAAATAATTGTGTAATAATGGCAAACACCACAGCAAATAATTACAGAGTACTAGAACTCCACTGAGAGTAAGAAGAGCTTCTACACTGCTTTGAACTCATGGTTTTTTAAATTATTTTGTTTCTATTCATATTCTTGATAAGAAGTGGTTTTTTGTAACTTTTTATGATAAAATTTAGCGATAAAATTTTACTAAAAGACATTATTTCAATACATTGTGTTCACTTTATTCCAGGCTGATTTCTGCTGGGTGTGTCTAGGCCCCTGGGAACCACATGGGTCCAGCTGGTAAGTCTTGTTGTTGATTTTTCAATTTCTACGTCAGTTGTCTTAGCTAAAACATAAATATCTTGCTGCAGTGGTCCTGGTTTATTGTAAGTATTCAAACACTGATGTTGGGTCTTTGTTTTAGGTATAGCTGTAATCGATATGATGAGAAAGAGGCTCAATCAGCAAGAGATTCTCAATCTGTAAGTAAAATATAATATATCCCTTCCAGTTACACAATAAAACCAATACCCAGAAGTTTTCTAGGCTCATTGTAAAATCTGTCAGATTTTCTGTATCCTTGGATTGGTTACTATGACTTAATAAATGTAAATATAAAGCATAGATAAAGGTGGCAGTTGGCAGTCATTGATGAAATAATTAAGTCTCTTTTCTTCAACAAATGACATTATCATGTAAACATCATCTTGGGTTCTGATTGGTTTGGAGCGCATGCTTTATGAGAGCACACAGCACGCTCTCCTAATTTCAGTTTCGTCATCGATGTAATTGGTATTTTATAAAAGAAATTAAAAACGTGCTTGCTGTGCTGTGTGGAGTTTTAAAGCACTTGGAGATTGGCAGATCACCCGAGAAGTGTCGAGAAGCACTCCACTATGTGTCGTGCTTCTCTTAACACTTCTCTTGTGTTCTGCAAACCCCTGCGTGCTTTATGACTGCACACAGCACACGTAGGCATTTTCTATTTTTTCATGTAAACATGTGAAAAAGATCAGCTATGTGTTTCACAAGCATTTTTCCTTTCTGACGCATCTAATGATATTATCTAATAATCTTCAAATATTAAATATAATCTAAAATATATTCTAATACTTACAGTCAATAGAATAGAACCTCTATTAATTGGCCAACTGCAAACATCAAGTTGCCATCAAATAGAGGTCTTAATGCCTGCTTAATAGAGGTATAGTTTACTTCAAAAACCCTCATTGGGACTTGCTGTTAAATAGAGATTGGCCTATTCACTAATATCTGTCTGTTCTATGTCACCAGCGATCAAGAGCAGCGCTAGAAAGATATCTATTCTACTGTAATCGATACATGAACCATGCTCAAAGTGCAAAGTTTGAAAGCAAACTCTACGCTCAGGTCAAGCAAAAGATGGAAGAGATGCAACAACACAATATGTCTTGGATAGAGGTCAGTACATCTCTTGATTTACCATACCATACCTAATATTATTAGGGACCATTTATATTTTTATCGGGGGAGGGGGTGGTGGGATCCAGTTGGTAAACTCATACAAGAAATCGAACCTCCCTCTCCATTGATGCATAAAGGCCCTCCCTTGTTTTTCATTCTGTTTTTTTTTGTTGTTGTTGTTGTAAAAGTGCTGTGCAAGTTAACTTTTGTGGCCCCCCCCCCCACTCGTTTGAGCCTGATTTTCTAAATTCCCCCCCCCCCCTCCCCCACACCCTCCCTTGGTAAAAAAAGAACTGCCCCCCTTGTAAAAAAGAACAGTCTCTTAAAGCTGCTAGGTGCATTGCAAGCAAAACAAGTGGTCTGTAGTTCTATCCCCTTTGAGGTCAGACACAGGTCGGAAAGGGATTTTCTTAATGTTTATTGTCTGATGATTTGATAGGTTCAGTTCCTGAGGAAGGCTGTAGATGTCTTGTGTCAGTGCCGTAACACCTTGAAATACACTTACGTCTTTGCTTTCTACCTAAAGAAGAATAATCAGTCAGTCATTTTTGAGGTCAGTTATTATTACCTTATTGATAATAGAAGTATTTATTAAGTTTAGAATCTGACTCTCTCTTTACTTTTCCTCTTTCCCCCCTGCTTTTTCTTGTCTTTCTTTCTTCCTGGTGCTCACCCTCTTATCCATGCTTCATCTTTCTCCTGCCTCGTCCTTCTCTTCAGTCCTCCTTTCCCAGACTCATACCTAATCGTCACTCACGCTTTTTTAATGCGCGCTATGGCTTTTGGGAAGGAGAGAGAAAAAGTGACAACGCTTCGCTTTTCTCTTCCTTCCCTTGATGCACCGCGAGATAAATAAGAGAAGAGAAGCGACTGGGTATGAGTCTGCTCCTTTCCCATCATCCATCTCATCTATCCTTCTTTCTTCCCTTTGTCCTTTTCTTACTCTCCCCACATCCTTTCCCCACATCTTCCCTCTTCAACCTCTCCTTTTGCTGATACAACAGGACAACCAGAAAGACTTGGAGATGGCAACAGAAACGCTGTCCGAGTACTTAGAACGAGACATCACACAAGAATCTCTATCCGACATCAAACAAAAAGTACAAGACAAGTACAGGTAAATCATTGGCTCTCACTTGGTTAGGTTTTTACACCGCAATAGGCCTTATCTAAGATAGGTTACATGTTACATGATGATATCTCGTTTTGGAAGCTCTGTTGTTCATCGTGTTCAGGTGTTGATTGTACTCGAGCTAGACCAAAGTGCACCTTTTTCGTTGAAAAATTACAAATAGCGTCCACAGGCATCGCACAAGAAATCGAGCCTGTAGGACTCCACCCAAACCAATTTTATCGAACCCTGAAACAACCTCTGGGCTGATCTAAGTCGGGGTATGTGGCTAACCCACAGATTGAACCGTGAAACAACCTCTTAATCTTGGCTGATCTAAGTCAGAGCATGGCTAATTCGCAGATAATCCTTGAAACAATCTCTGATCTGGGGAGCGTTTGAATGTGTCCTTACTAATCCATTTAATTATGTAGATACTGTGAAGCAAGACGCAAGGCATTACTCGACCACGTATACGAGGGGTATGACACAGATATCTGGGAATACATCGACTATGACTAAAAAAACGACCTGCCTTAAATACCTTGAAACTGGCTGCTCGAATAGAGGCGTTGTCTTAACATCATGGCCAGGAAATTCCGCCAATGGTTTCGTAGTTTCCCCCCTGACAAACTGACGAATACTTGTTAATATTCAGTACCAATTTGGTGTTAAGAGTGTTAATAGCAGTGAAGCCTGTTGGACAAACTTTGATCCTCCACAGCAAGACCAACATGTTCGGTTGCAACATAAAGCGTTTTTTGCGATGTTTGCTCGTGTTAGTACTTTAGCTTTTATTTAGTCGTAAATGCTTCTCATCCGAAATCTTGAATCTCCGGTCTCCTGCTTCTTAGAGATAACAAGATACACTGATTGATTGATAACAAATGAACAACTTCAATGCTTTTTGGGGAATAAACCAACTAAGCGTTTGGGGATTCTTGAAGGAGCCGATGACCACCTAACTATTCTTCTAGCTTATGAGCAGAGTCTTAGAACTTTTTACCTTCTTTGTTTGTTGTCTCATTCCAGACCATGTAATGTTGGTTCTTTCATATGTAAATTTTTCAAAATGCTCATCATAAAAGAAACATTATCAGGGAAATGTCACATGGTCTGAAATGGGACAACAAACAACAAAGGTAGAGAGGTCTGTTGTCTGTTGTCGGCTCCCAAACCCTTCAGAGAAAATAGTCAACTTTCGATATTTTTTCCGGTTTCAGCCAAATGTCATTCTCTTGTGAATAAGATTCTTTGTTTAAGCTTTATCTATATTCATGTGTCTTCTTTTGCGCCACCGTTAAACAAAGAAATGATACTCTAGGGAATGACACTTGGTCTAAAATGGGAAACATTACGTCTGATTACGAGTGATCAAGTAGAAAACAAACGATTAAATTCCTTTGAGCCTCGACTTGAAATGTTTTGTGCTTGATCACTCAACCAGAATATCAAAAGTTTGCTATTAGAAGTGACTGCCATGTTGGATGACAACTAAGCCTAATCTAACAGTCTTCATTTTTCTTCAACATAGCGGCCATGACCTCATGTTTGAGAAATTGGAAAATATTAAGCATAAAATGAACAAATTTCTGTTATTAAGGAAAGATGTATTGTGTAAACATCTTGCCAACCCGCAAAATCCTTTTTTATAAATATTTTCTGTTTTAGATTTATTATACTCTAAACGTTTGCTTTCACATTCCAAGTCATTTTCCATTTTTGGGCTACCTGTGTCGGGTCCGTTTCCCATGTTAGTGTTCTAGTCAAAAACATATTTGCATGTCCTCCAAACCGGCTAGAGTGCGTACCATATATCCGTGTAAAAATTACCAACATAATTGTACAAATTAGTGCAAAGTTTTGTAGGTATACGGTTTGTGCAATTCTTCGTTTGCACGTTACGTCATCGCGGCCATGTTGGTACCATTTAACAAAAGATTTCTCATTAGTATCCATTGTTAACGGTACCACAATGGCCGCCATGTTTTTGTCTTTTAACTCTCTTGGGAAAGCTGCCATCACGTGATATACGGTATGCTTTACCAAAGCAACCAGAATGATGAAACAAAAATTTCTCCAGAATTTGCAGTAATCTGGGTTAGATCGACTGTGTCTGGATTAATCCTGTGATTGTATAACAATGAGCAACAAATTTGGCTCTATTATATTATTGGCACCAAAGGAAATTCAGATCTAAATAATCCTTTTTCGAGTTACGCCATCCTGCTGGCTTAATTGCCCTATTTCACTATGACGTCATTGCTTGTTTATGTGGGGGATAGAATCGCCAAATCCAATACAAAAATTCAATAAAATTTGCTCCTAGCGAAACAGTTTAATCTAAAATGGCCTGGTTTTCAGATATAATATGTGTTAATATGTACTAACAAATATTCTGAGCGTTTGCTGGCTATTCTACTTCTCTTCATGGACTGATACGGGTTTTAGAACAATTTTTGGTGAATTTGCGTTGAATTGACCCCCTCCGACGACCATGATCCTTTGCGTTTAAACAATAGATTGTTTTGATGTGACGTCATAGTGAAATAGAGCATTTAGTAATACCCTCGATAGGATAAGGATATAAACGGAACTGTTGTTGAAAATAGTTTGTAAATACTGAAAAAAAATGTGAAATGCGTCAAATGCATTAAACTTGAATAGTAATATTATGGATTCAGCAAAACGTTCGATCATTTTGCGAGCACCTCTTCAGAAGGATCACAGAGTACACTAAAAAAAATCGTGGTGGTGGGGGAGAGTTTGGAATATTGAGTATGGAAAAGTTAGTGGATAATCGCAAGAAGTGTGGGGCTATAGCTTGCTTTATTATGAATCCTAGGAGCCGTCATTAGTTTCGGCGGGAGAATCTGGGACCGAAACTAATGACGGCTGTGAGGGAAACTACCCCCCTCCCCTCCCCCCMAAAAAAAGCATGCCAGAATCGAACACAAACTATTTGATATTCGAGCCAAATGGAATCGTACCAAATTCAATCGTTCAATGCACCCTTCTTAAAAGTATCGTGAATCGAGGCTAACTTGGAACCGTTCAAAAGATATGCCACAAATTCAATTGTAGTGAAAAAGTTTAGCCTTAGAAGGGTCCATTAATTTGGCAAGCAAGTCACCAAAACGTCCCTGTTCGATGATGTTCGATTCGATTAGTTACACCGGCTTTAATCCAGTCGGGATTTCGAACCAAACTAAGTGTAAATTAAAATAAGCCAATGTACACTTTTCTAACAGGTCTTTCCTTTGTTAGATCAGGAAGGTTTTGCTAAACGATAATTACAATGAGATCACATTGTCATATTCTCATGGGAAAATCCCCAGAGTCTACACGTGTCGTTTTACGACACAAGAACAAGAATTGATCTCGCTAGGTTTTGTTGACTTGGGTGCCGTTTACATGGGGAAAGTTGTCCCAGATAGAAGACATACCATCTTAGGCGAGCTAACTTTGCCCTATTTTCTTCGTAAATTCATCTCGACTGTTTGCGAGATATTTTACTTTTTCACTGCTATAAGAAGGGTCACCCTACCCTGGTACCTGCAAACACTTTAACTCGCCTAAATGAGACACCTTTTTCGTTTAATCACGCGTTTCTCCATTGAAACCGATAGTTGTCCAGGATTTATAGGGACAACTTCGTTCCATATAAACTCTCGGTATAGCTCGAGAGGGAGGGCGTTAAAAAGGCCTGTAGTTTTAACACAAAGAATCATGTTCATCGTAGCTAGGGGAGCAAAACATGATCCAAAGCACAAAGAAAATATTACTTTGACTGTAATATCGTCAATGACAGGACAGACACAAAAAACTGATGCGGCAAATGGCTCCAGCTCCCCTTGGTTACCGTTGCTATGTCCCACAACCTAAGCAACTTAGTTAGAATATCTAGCAATTTAAAACTCTTATCGCGGAAATTTTGGTTATAAGTCGTTTTAATTGTACATGAATTGTTCTAAAGAAAAGACAATTGCCTCGTAATCCTTTTAAGGATTAAAATAACTCTTAAAAACAGATGGCAGTTGTTTGTGGGATAATATTTTAATTCCACTGGAAAAACTGCTGTAACGGTGATTAGTTCGCTATTGTCCGAGTCGGAACCATGAGTTAATTTGTACCGTAACTAACCAAACTACTTTAAAATCTTTTAAATTTGAATTTTGATAAATTTTGATCCATCAACCTCCTATGATCCTGTTTTTCTTTTCATTATTGTTTTTTCCTCGTCAATTTTAATGTTAATCATGTTTGTATTGTATGTAAATTTTATGGAGAGTTCTGTTTTCTTCGCCAGTCAAAAAATTTGTATTTGTATGTCTCAAGTTTTATAAAATGTATATGTTTATATTGTGACAAATAAACTAAGCTAAACTAAACTACATGTTTCTCACTCATACGAAAACCGCTCTATTGTTGGACTGCATGGAAATAAATAACCGTTGGTTAATAAAAAAGAACCATCAATTCAGATACCTTGTTACTCGGGCTTTCAAAGAAATGCCCGAGGTATAAATTGGACTTTATTTGCGTTTTGTTACAAATCGCAGTTGCGTTCAAAGCGCATGCGCAAGTTCATTGCGCGTGCGTAGTATGCGCCACATGGTCGAGCAATGGCGGAATTTTTCAAGGTTTCGTCAGAAGGATGACAGTGTTCACGAAGAATTCTTTCGATTTTCTGCTGTGAAGCCCGAGTTCACGCAGATATGCGTCTAGTATTGATTAAAAGATTAGGATCATTAGTATTCTTATCAATAGGTTGTTTAATAACAAAGGAGTTGTGTTAAGTAATGTCTTGTGACATCAATCAGTCGAATAAATAAGCAGATATTGATCATGATTCATGGCTAGTAAATAAGAATACGAATCGTGTCTCAAGATCTTTTGCCAACCATTCTTCGCGTAGAGGGGRAAAAAATAGACATTTAGAGTTAGAGTTCTACTACAAGAAATAAGGTAAAAAAATTAATGACTATTCTTACTGTATGAAAAGAACAGTCGATTATCAAACAACTGGTGTAGCCAGAAGACGTGTTGGATATTTTTTAGCGCGCTCGATATTTTCATATATTCATTTCGAAACGACAATAGAATACTTCTTTTAGTTTAAAATCAAGAAAGAGTACCTTATCCATGATACGTCTGCACTAATAAGAAAAACGTTCTACTTTCGCAATTTTTTCTTTATCGCTCATTCATGCTAAAAAACGTTTAGTGTTTCATTCGTGCCTCTTGTGCTTCAAACTTTTCACAAAATCCTGGTAACCTTGAGCAATTCAGTCTACTTCGAGGTATTAGCGAAAATGTTAGTTTTTGTGCTGATCAAAATATCATCTCTCCCAACGTTCAGGGCTTTCTATCTCAAAGCAATRCGCATTCCTTAAATTTCCCCAAATTTTGGTATTTTGTTAATCAGCCCCAAAAGAGCCTGTTTATGAAACATAAAGCTTATTAACGCATAAACGTCGAAAGTAGAACCCGTTTTACTGCCCTGTCAGTTTAATATCATTCGTAGTGAATTTAGGCAAGTACGACAATCTCTAGTTCAACATGTTTCAGTAGCTTGCTGTCACTGATCATCACTGTTAAGGAAGGAATACTAACAAAGCAGGACTGCCGGCTGAACAACTTTTCTTGATGTAATTGCCTTGAGCATGATACAAGTACGTACAGCTGCGATTGATAAGTTGTTTTTTTACCGTCCCTAGTATGTAACCGGCTGTAATTTTCAGTTATTATTAATTTTAATTTCAATATATTTGCATTCATCGATTGATGCCCTAAAAGTAGGATTTTTGAGAGCTAAGGTACACTAGAGGTCAGTCTAACCTTGAAATGCACCGCCTTTAATAATAATCAGTTATAGCTGGAGTACCGAGAGTACCGACAAAACGAGACTTAGAGGGGCGAGCATTTGCGAGCACACGCGTTTTGAACGCGAAAAAGTTCGTCAATTTCACAGAGACCCAACAAAAAAGGAAAAAATCAAAATTGACGGTAGATATTGTCGATACGCCACTGATTAGAAGCATCGATAATTGATCACCTTCATCGGCCGCCAATACAGCAATAAGCAATTTAGTCTGATAAGTCACGTCATCCAATCCTCTTGAACAAATCAGTTTTGTCAAAATAGATAACACCATGCAGAAATGGAAAGGCAAAGATTTAACTCACAGTGCGTGATGCAGGAGAAACGGCATTTCTTTTTTCATGGTTTTGTATGTGGAAGCGTATCGAACAGCCATCCTAACCAGGCCGGTGATTGCGCTACTCTCAGCCCTAGCGAATTAGCCAATCAGCGAACGCCAGTTTGTTAGCCAATCAGCGAACGCCAGTTTGTTCCGGCAGGTTTTGGGCTCAATTAAGGTGGCTGACTACTTTGGTAAATAATAAACGGCAGACAATTGAAAATCGAAACTTCTTCTACCTGAAATTTAATGCTGATTTCAAAAATGCAAAGAAAATTGGGGTGTCCCATTTTGAGATAATCACTCTGGAATGACATACGTTTGTACAATTTTCGAAGAAAAATAGCGAAAGTCAAGCTCTGTACAAAAAAATCATAAAACCGAAACTGAGGAAGAAACATGAGTAATTTTCTCCGAACACGTAACTTACTATTTTTATAAAATACTGATAAAAGTTGTTTTAATAAATTATTGTAGACTGTGCGAGATCATGACGTAA